CCATATATCTATACCTAGAATTAGGAAAGAGATTTTTTAAGCTCCACCGAGGTTATCGTGGAGGTATGGCTGCCCCTTGGCATGGTTAGTTGTACAGCTACGAATAGGCAATGAGATGTCTTTGTAATATTTCCACCATCGTTAGTTTATATCTCCTGCATTTCCTTAATTTTATTTATAGGATTCCATCGTCATGTCTGGTAGATATCATAGAAATTTTATTTAAACATAACTTTAACTTCGATAATCCAACAAATGGTATTATTTAAAAATTACCAGAATGATTACATAGCAGTAGATATTTTTCTCTTTTCTCGGTAGTATGTATCATTTTAGACTTTGTTTGCAGTGTATTTTGCAGTGTATTTTAACACATTTAAGTTGACTCGATTTGAAAATGGCCAGTGAGATTCTATGGATAAAACTTTCATAGTTTTTAAGACTCTTTATGACCTTTGTGAAAACAAAGATATTAAGTCCAATTTAAAGTGATTTCAATAGTATCTTCCTTCAGGAAGGAACAAGTCACTTGATTTGTCTCCTGGTCAAGGCTTCATCTTTTATGAATCCTAGAAATTACTGCATTGTATTTCTAGAAGTAAAATTAGATACAAAAAACACTTCACTACCATTTTCATCATCTATTCGATCAAATTTCAGCAAAAATGTTTTGCTTTGATGAATGGTCTTCCAGTGCTAACTGATCGTCCACTAAGATATCGCTGTTACTATTGCGATAAAATGTTCCATCATCGAAGAGACAAGGTACTTGTTATTTATTGAATAGATCGTTGTTCGTTAAAATGCATTAAGGAGAATAAATAAAATTTGCTTGGAATCCTTTTCAAATATTTAGAATAAGAAATGCTGAGGAATAAGAAGTCTGTCTTTTGTTCCTTCGATCAAAAATTATATATTTCAAGGAATGTGTTTTCCATGTGACTAAAGGGTGACTCATTTAGAACACGTAGATCTGTATGCTGTATATAGTTGGAGGTATTTATTTGTGGCTTTGTTTTTCAATGCATATTTTCAGACGTGAAAATTAATTGGCTTTAATTGTAGACATTTCATAAAGTATATGGTAGCTGAAGTGGTTAGGTTTCCACACTCTCTGACAATATCAAAGGTTCATTTCCTGTCTAAACTTTCCAGAACATCCATGAAAGGACGCATACCGGTGAACGGCCGTATACATGTGGATACTGTGGTAAAGGTTTCACGCAATCACAAGCTCTAACAATTCATATAAGATCACATACTGGTGAAAGACCGTTTAGTTGCTCAATATGCAGTAAAGAATTTCGAGACAGGTAAATTGCTCACTCCATTCAATTGCAGCCGTGATGAAGAACTGAAACAAAAAATGCTGTTATAATGAGGCTGAATACAGATGTTGTAAATTCTGTTCTAAGCTGAGCTGCATGGTTGACTACTTTTTCGTTTCAAGAATATGTAAATCTTTTCTGAGGACTTATATGTTGTAAGCACTTCGAAAAAATGTTATAGCGAATTTTTTCTGGAGATTTTTTGTTTGAAACAAATAGATACCACAGATTGGACCAAATTCCGGATTTTAATATTGGGGAACTGTCTCAAATTTTCTGGAATACTTTTGATCTTTCTTGGTCATATTGAAGTTCATGACATAACACACGTTTTCTAATGTCTTTTTGTTTTAATTATTGAATTTCGGGATTTGTTTAAGTTAATGCAGACGGATGCAATTTTGTGACGTGAAAAATCTGCCTTAATTTTTTTTTGTGAAACAGACTTTTGATTCGGAAAATTTTCAGCTCAGCTTTAAGGAAGCACGAATTTACCAAGCATATCAATGATAACCTTCCCAGTGATGACTATGATGATTCATCGAATGAAATGATTTTACTGACAGCACCGTATGTGAATTAATCGTGATTTGTCGTCCATTATCAAATTTGTGCATTATTTTATGGTGTTTTTCCTCTGTTCAAATTTTGTGCAATATTTATACAAATTTTAACTCTTCAATGTAGCACATAATATTAAGATGAGAATGGAAGCTTGATCATTTGTACGAAGCTTTTTCGTCTTTATCTTTAAAAAAAATTCAAGAAACATTACGTTTATTTACGATATAACAAGATATAAGATGTGAGTTATGATGATACTTTGTACAAGTGCAAAAATTGTTTTGAACATTAAATTATAATTCTGATTGCCATATTTCAGTTCGTCTGCAACATTTTATTTAGGATTTGCATGATACATAGCAACAATAAAACTGTATAGTGTCGAGACACGTTCTGAAATCATGATCGTATTATATAGGGGGATGAAAATTAGGTCCGAATCACAGACATTCCGTTCATTAGATATATTAAGTGTAACACTCGCTTTATGAAATTGGAAAGAATATTGTGATAAAAATTGCTTGAATATATTCTGCTTAATGAAAAATTTCAAGTAAATCAATTAATATATTATAAGCATTTCAGACGTATTGAGATTAACTTAATAGATTTGTAGATATCTTTATCAAGTATATTGATGTTATCAAATGGTCTCATTTAACGCATTAATTTACTGAAATTTCTGTTGGCACTTTATTGAAATTCATCAAGTTGCTCACTACGCATAATGTATTAATAATTATTTGTTTTTAAACTGACCAGCATTAATTTTAGTACAGATAATTCTTATATGCAAAAGCCAAAATTTGATCTTTCCAAGCTTTATGTTATAAATCAAAATTTACTAAGCTTACTTTTAAGCTGTCATATAATGATTCAGTTAAAGTTAATTTCACTCTTGATAATCTTGTTTATTATTTATTGAGCTAAATTTCTTCAATGTTTATCTTTGTTGAAAATTCATCTTCTAGACTTCTTTCTCTAATTTTTATGCTTATTCATATAGCTCAAATATAACAATTCTATTCATTTATTGTATTTATAATTATTGTTTTACTATAACAAAGGTATATTCTGTTTTTTTCTTTCTTTTTTACTTTCAGTAATTAATCAATTAAAGTTCTTTTTTTTTGTATAGAATCAACAAACTTTTTGTTAGTACTTTAGACGACTCATTAATTTGGGGGTTTATGTGTTGAACTCATTTCCTATTTTGACATAAATTAGTACGATCAAATATCCGGTAGGAAAACATTTTTTTCTTTTTCTTTTAATTTTTGTTTTTGTCAATTAGATGAAGATTCAGTGACATTGTATTTTGCAGTAATTAATTTGAGAATTGTCAGCAATCAATAAAATCAAATTTTTTCACGTAAATGGTTATTTGATTATCTAGTAATCACTGGAATTAAAGAATACTTAGAGTATGTGTGAATTGATGTTTCATTTTTTGTTTACATCTAATGATCATCGAGATGTCAAAGTATACTATAAATAGGTCTTTGTATTTTCTTTCTCTACTCCATAATACTATGAAATTTTTGGAATTTGATAAATTTAAAAATCATTCTGATTAATTTCATTATCATGATAACTTAATAGATAGTGAATGATTAGAGGAGAAATAATGCTACTTGAAATTAATTAAAAGTGACATTATGTGACGTTTAAATTTACTGTGATAGAAAAACTAGATTTGCATTAAAAACTGGAAAGTTTAAGGGATGATTGGAAATATTTCGCCATAGTTATCCATTATCTATATCAAAAAGAAAATCTCGGAGAAAACAGGAAGAGCAGTGTTCAATTCTTATCATTATCATTTATCATACTCATTCTATAGTGATTAATTGCTGATAATTCAATAGAATAATGAAACCTCTACTTATGGTGCATAATATCTGTGATTGGTGTTGTATAACAAAATCATTGCATACTCGACGTAAATTATGCCCAAAATGTGCTATGCAAATTACCGATAATACTTCACGATGTATTCTTTTACCTAGTCCATTTATTTCTACAACAACTGGATATTGTTGTATTTTGCTAAAACCATCTATAAATTCATTCAACAAGTTAGTTTTTGATTTTGTTTTTTTCAAATATAAATATAACTTCTTGGATAAATTTATCTTTGTTAACCCATCTGATGTGATATTTAATAATAGTTATTCATTTAAATATTTGCTCAATTTGATTTTATCATTAATTAGATTAAGTGAGAATTTCAGTTTTTAATTCATAGCTAATATTTATTTTAAATTTTACAAATTTTCGAATGAATCAGCATTTTTAGATTCATTTTTTCTTTTTCTTTTGTACTTTTTTTTTTCAACAATTTATTATATTATAAACTATTTGAGATGATCTTCCAATTTGTATCTTTCTTTATAACTATTTTAATTCCTTATTTGTTTGTTTGTTTGTTTGTTATGATTTTTTTTCCTTTTTCTTAAATTTAAATTTAATTTTGAATTTTGCACAGATACAAACTGGGAGATGATCTTCATATTGGTTTATCGAATTCAAAAGGTTTCGTATTTTCTTATACAGCTGATGGCATAATAGTTGAATCATTTTGGCATGATTGCCTTTGTATATATCGATTCAGTGATAGCGAAACGTGTGATAAAAGGATGAAAATGTTTGTCAAAAAATACTACAATCAATTTACCCGTCAAGTTTGTTTTATTACCCATTTTGAAAGAAATTATTAGAAAAATATTTTTATTTATTTCGCTTTTTTTTTCTCTAAATATCTTAGTTTTAAATAGGATATTATGATTTATTTTAAAGAAAAAAATTTTTCTTTTTTCCATTGAAGTTATAAATATTAGTGAAATTCTTTTGATCATTTTATCACTATAGGATTGATAACAATACCAAAGTACTGAGAAATATGTTCATAGAAACTTTGATTACGATAAGATTGAATGAATTGAATTTTATGAGCTATAAAAGTTGGCAGAATTATCGAGCATATATATATACATTTCGCATATAGTTATGATTCCGATTTTGATGCTACTAAAAGAAATACTATAGTGATATAAGATAATAATGAAGTGTAACTATTAAATTGATGATTTCTTTGCAGTATTATGATAAAAGGAATTGGAATTGTTATGATTTTGTTGTGGAATTTTTGCTTTATATTGGTGATATATTGGAACGTACAATATACATGAAAGAACAGTTTGTTACAGAACATGTTTGCAAAGCGTTACAAAGAGTACTTCGTTATTACAGTCTCTTGAATAGATTATCACAATGTAAAGCTAATTATCTTACATTATCATGATGATTATGTTAATTAATTATCACAGTGTAAAGTTAATTATCTTACATTATCATGATGATTTTGTTAATTATTACAATGTAAAGCTAATTATCTTACACTATCATGATAATTTTGTTAATTAATTATCACAATGTAAAGTTAATTATCTTACATTATCATGATGATTTTGTTAGTTTTTTTGTGTTGCTTAAAATGATTTATCCAATTATTTTATTACCTTAAAAGTTAAAACATTTACCTTTAACTTGTATATTAAAATGATACAATTATCTTTATAAATGATGAAAAATGAAGAATATTTTCATCATATCATTTCGATTTAATAAAATCAATTATGAAATTTTTCGTTAGTATAGAAAGAGTAGCAAACTGTTAGATGACATAATTTAAAAAAAAAAAAAAACAAGTAAACTGAGATGATATTGTCACAAGTAAATCATTTGATAGCAACAGGAAAGAGTTTTGCTCTTCTTGTTTTAACCGTGAAGAAAAATTCTTGATTGTAAATTATTACAGTTTTTATCCGGCACTTATTGTATGAATATTGGTATTATTATAATCAAGAACAGTACATATAATAATTGACTTAGTCTTGTATATATACATATATATATATATATATATATATATATATATATATGCATGTGTGTGTGTGCGCATGTATATATCATAGTT